AGGGGTGGGCGGGAACTTAGCGTTTAGTCAACCTGGATGTTTAGGCATCCGGAACGTCTCCTCAATTCAATGACGTTTTCCTAGGGTCCTGCTTCCGTGCAAGGCGCCGGGGACCCGCGCAGAGGAGTGGCCTGTGCCGCCTCGTCCAGACACCGCTGGCACCACCCCGGCGCCCACAGCGCGCTCAGACCTGCCCCAGGCAGCGCGCCCCTGGGGCGCACGCGGTTCTCCCGCGGCCGAGGGCGGGCGCTCCTTCCAGCAGCCCGACCCACGTGCCTTGTCGCCACCCCTGCCGGCTCCCACCTCAAGGTTTCTACGGGGCTGGGTGCTCACAAGACCTGGGGGATTGGGGCGCCGGGGTGACCCCGGCGGCTAAGTGTCCTGCTTCGGCTCCAGGTCACCGGCCCCTGCAGCGGGTTCTGTGCTGACAGCTTGGAGCCTGCTTGGGACTCTCTCTCTCCCTCCCTCTCCCTGCCCTTCCCCGCTTACACTCTGTGTCTCTCAAAATAAAGAAATGAAGTTTAAAAGAAGAAGAAGAAGAAGACAACGACGACGACGACCTTGTGGATTAACTGGCTTGGGGCACAGTCCCTGCCCAGGAAGGCGCTAGAGACCAGTGTCAGCCAGCAGCCTAATGGGGCCTAATTAAGTGTTAAGTGCAAGTGTTAAGGGAGTCAAGTGGGGAGGAGGGGCACTGTTACCACCCCAGGAAGGATTGTAAAGATAGGCTCATTGAGGAGGTGGGGCTTGAAATCGCCCCCAAGGGAGTCAAGTGACTGTGCTGAACCTGTACATGTAAGAAAATAAAGCAGGATGCAAAACTGTGTGTACAACAGCATCCCACTTCCACATAATCACAGAACGAGAGAAAGTTCTAGAAGAAAATATGCCAAAACACAGTATTTATAACAGTTATCTCTGGATCCGGGGACCCTGGATAAAGTGTGGGTATCTTGTTTGTGTGCCTTTATCTTCCAAATGTTCCGCAGCAAATGCTCAGTCCTCTGGCAACCGCTAAGCCCCCCTAACTGTCCTGAGCGAAGCTGGCACTGAGGAAGCAGAGGCAGGGAGGGCAGCCTGTTTCGTCAAGGAGCTCAGCTCACGCGGGGAAAGGAAAAGGCTGAGTCCAGAGGGCCTTGAGAAAGTTCCTTTAGTCCCCTCAGGGACAGACTTGAAGCCAACTTGTAAATAAGAGGGAAGGAGCTCCTAGAAAGGAAGACATTGAAAACAGAAGGGACGCCAGATGCAGCAAGGGTCCCGCGTGGGTGAGAAGGTGGCCCCAGGTGCCGCTGGACTAGCCTTGCTCACGGCAGGCGTAAGCTGCTCCCGTGTGTGCAGAGAGAGAAGTCCCTACGTGGGAGCCTCTGTCTGTCACTGCGTCCTGCCCATGCCAGGTGTTTATGGCATCCCTGACTCACCAGGGCAGAAAAAAAGGAAGCAGCTCAAAGGTCACTGGGTGGCAGAGGGGTGGGGTGCACTTCAAGAAGGAGGCGGTTTCCAAGTAGGACAGTGGGTGCAGGGGCGGAGAGGGCTGCTCCGGGGACAGCGTTATCTGGGAACAGAGACGAGCCCGGCAGGCAGGGAGGAGACCTGGGCGCTGCCAGCACGGAGTGGTTTGAGGGGCAATTCTGTCTAAGGGCCTCCAAGTCAAATATGGCTGCCACCAACTTCCTCAATCCTGAAATCCTCCCACTGAGGGGAGACACAGAAGCTGCTGGATGCAAGTGCCGCCTGGGAAGGAGGCGAGACACACGAGGTGACTCTTCCGTCAACCTGCAAACCCGTCTCTCTACTCAGCCCCTCTCGTCCATCAGATCCTGGAAAGGCACTCAACGGATAACTTTTTTTAAGTGGTTGTATTATTATTTTTTAAGTTTATTTATATCCTGTTTTGAAAGACAGGGAGAGGGGGAGAGAAAACGCTAGTGGGGGATGGGGAGAGAGAATATCCCAAGCAGGCTCTGGGTTGTTAGCACAAAGCCCCATATGGGGCTCAAACTCATGAACCATGAGATCACGACCTGACCCCAGATCAGGAGTTGGGCTCTTAACTCACTGAGCCACCCAGGCATCCCCAGAATGGGTAGCTTTTGATAGAAGCATATGAGATGAGAAAGCTGAGGCTTGGAGAGAGGCCGGAACTGCGTAGAGCAAGAGGGAAGGGAAGAAAGGCAGGATAGGAGGTACTAAAAGTAACCCAGCTTGCTGCCTCGGGAGGTTCCAAAGAGTAGGTTCATTAACAGCCAATCAGCAAATGGCTACTGGGCTCCCATGTTGCAGGCACTGTGCTAGGCTCTGGGGAGAAAATGACAAGCAGGGACAGACACGGCTACTGCTCTCATGGTGTTCAGTCTTCTGGATGAGTCAAAGTGTCATGGTTAATCCCAGAGACAAATGTAAAACCACCACGGAAACAAGTACTACACATTCAATGCGAGGATCTAACAACATTTGGGGATGAGAAGAGGTTGTCCTACGGGAGAGCCTCTTGAGCTGACATTGGAGGATGAGCAGGAGTGAACCCTGAGAAAATTGGAGAAGAGGTGAGTCGGGGAGAGAAGGGCATTGTGCCGAGGTCAGGGCAAGGAGGAGGTGGGGCACATTCCAGAAAGTAAAAGAAGCCAGTCTGTAGCAACAGCACCAAGGAGGTTTGAGGGGGAAGGCGTGATCGCCCCATATGATATGCTTTAGCCTCCCCACCAAGATTCCAAATAAACACACAGGCCAAGTGCCAACAGCATACGAGTTCTGTCAGGGCAGATACGGACAAATTCCACTACCTGCCTTCTCTCAGCGGGTTGCCTCCCCTGCACCCTCAAGCCTGTCCTACAGTGCACACTGCCAGTGTGGCCAGAAATGCGGAGTGGGCCCAAGTCCAAAAGGCCATGACGACAATCTGAGAGTTGTTGTTGTGTGTGTGGGGGCGGGGGGTGGGTGGGATGGGGGTTCTTGCTATCTGCATTAATGGTTTATTTGATACAGTTCTTTTTTGCATCAAATAAGGGAAGACTCAAAGGAGGGAGGGAAAAAGAGTCCTAATTAGTTGGAAAAACAGTTTATCTTCCTATAATTAGATCAGGAGAAAAATGAAGAACCCCCTGATAGTGGGGAAAAGCAAGGATTATCTAGAGTCTAGCACGTGGATAAAACAGGTACTCGGTTACGGTGCATTGCCATTGGTTTCCCACCGCAGAACACACAGCCGCCTTGGGAACATGACGCCTGAAGCCGGGTTAGCCTTAGGCTCCACAACTATGCCAACTATGCCGTTGGGCTGTTGTTGCCAAAGCAGTTGGCTACGCCCAGAGAAATGGGTGTTGGCCTGTCCCACCCATCTTCGTCCCAGCCTTCCCCGCAAGGAAGGCAGTGCCATGTGCTCTCAGTCTCTTGCCCTAGGTTCCTGGTTTGGAAGAAAACAACCCTCTCAACACAGCTTTTGTCACCACAGCTTGCGATATAACGACGGGTTATACAGCTCAAGGAACCTGGTAGTAAGCATCAAGGGAACAAGTAGCCGACCTATTTTCAACAACAGTACGGTTCGTCAGCTTCTTCCACGTTGGAAAAGGAGCCCATCTAAGTGCTGGCTGGAGGCACAGACGCCCTCGCCCCACATCAGGGCACCAACAACACTCACTTCCGGCCCCTCGCCCCACATCGGGGCACCAACAACACTCACTTCCGGCCCCTCGCCCCACATCGGGGCACCAACAACACTCACTTCCGGCCGCTGACGCTGGGGAATGAGGCCCCCACTTCCTGTGCCAGGCAGGTGGGTTCTGGCTCGAGCCGGAGGCTGGGAGCTCAGCGGCAGGCCTTGGGGGGACCCCTCTCCCGCCCTTCCCACTCCTCAAGCGCCCTGCCCGGGGCCGTCGTCCTCGTCCTCCGACCACCAGCACAATGGCGTCCCCGCGGGGCCGGGACGCGCGCCGCCCTCCCTGCTCTCCGTGGCGGCCATCTTAGGGAGGAGACGCGGGTCAGTGCCGGCGGCGGAAGAAGCCCTCCTCGTGGACGCGGTCGGCTTGGAAGGGTACTTTTGAAGGATTTTGAGGGTAGAGAAGAGGAATACGAAAAAGGAGAGGAGCAGGCAGAAGAGCCGCTGTCACCCAGGGCGGGAGTGCGGCGTGGAGCCCCCACGTCAGTAACGGGGTCTGAGAGCGCTGAGCACGACGGGCGCCCGGGTCAGACCAAAGGGACCCTCAGAGCGGAGGAGAGAGCCCAGCGAAAAGGGGTGGAGAGGAAAAGGCGACCAGAAAGTTAGAACTTGATGGTGGAAAACCAAGCATTCTTTGTGAGCCTTTGTTCTAGTAACCGTGATATTTAATGGTAGGAAGGAAGGGAGGGAGGGAGGGAAGGAGGGAGGAAGGAAGGAAGGGAAAAGAAAGGGATGAGGAGGGAAGAAAGGAAGGGAGGAAGAAAGAGAGAAAGAAAAAGAGAAATATGAACAGTAGCTCTTACCCTCAGGCCGTTTAGGAAAACTAGGCCCCAAAGTGGGTGAAAGGTTCAACGGCAAAATAACAGATGCCAAAGGGGTCAGACCATTAATTGCTATTAGGAAAAAACAGTGGGGCCCAAAGTGACCTGGGAACGTGTTAATGGAGGAAAGGGACTTGTGGCGTTTGAAGATGAGACCGAAAAAAATGAATACTACCGGTAAAGCTAGTGATAATTTTCCACACCAATATGACAAAAATGTTTGCACCGTCCAAGGCATAGGCGGCAGTCTGGGCGCTCTTCAGGGTGCTGCACTGCTGAGGTTGGGTGAACACTTTGGTGGGGTCTACAGAACGTAAATGTAACTTAGGAGAACCCATCCTCACGACCTGAGTCCTTATCCTGGTAGTAGTGGGAAATCACTGAAGAGTTTTCGGTAGGCGTAGTGACATGGTCATAACGTGTCTTTAAAAGATCCTTCTGGCTCCGGTGTGGAGAACAGATAGAAGGAGGAAAAGGGGCCCATAAGGCCAGTTAGAGGCTCTGGAGGCAGCTCCCCTCCGCTGGGTGGCAGAGAAACAGACATGAACAGATTCAAAAGGTGTCAGAGAACTAAAATTGCCAGGGCACAGTGATGACTTGAATTTTAGCTGAGGGGGAAGAGGCATTGGGTGAGATGGTGACTGTAAGATATGGTCCCCAGATACTTTGAAACTCCTCCGGTCAAGAGTGAAGTTAATGTCCCTTCCCTTGAATCTGGGTTCAAGGCTAGGTGAGTATCTGGGCCCAGACCTTAAGGGACGGGCAGCTTCCCTGTTCTTTCTCTGCAGGTGTTTGCCCTTAGAATCCAGCCACGGTGCTGTGAAGACGCCCAGACTCCCCGTGGAGAGGCCCACAGAGGGCGCGACCAGAGCTGGCACCAGCTTGCCGGCCGGTGAGTGGACCGTCTTGGACGTGGGTCTTCCAGCCCCAGGAAGTCATCCCGGGTGCTGCGGCGTGGAGCAAGGACAAACTGCCCCTGCCAAGCCCCATCCAAATTGCAGATTTGGGAGCAAAATGAATAACTATTTTGTCATTTTACGCTCAGGGCTGGTTTCTTACAAGGCAGTCGAAACCTGTAACAACGACCGCTTGGTTTCTGGTTTTCATTATTGGATGGATGGGAGTCATTTACGCTGCAGCGTCCACTGAAAAAGCCCGGGTTAGGGAAAGAGATGACGACTTTGCCTTTCAGCTTGTGAGTTTGCAGTGCTTCTGAGACGTGTAAGCCGAGAGGTCACACGGGCTGTTGGATTTGTGGGTGTGTGCAGCTCGGGAGAGAGGTTGGGGTTGAAGACACAAGTCGTGAGTCAGTTGGAAATGGGTGTCACCCGGAGATGTGGACGTGGCTGTAGGGTGAAAACAGAAGGGGTCTGTGGGCAGAGGAGAAGGAAGCCGCAAAGCACACCCGAAAGGAGGCCAGGGATGGAGGAAGAGAACCCGGAGAGGGAGTATCACGGGAGCAGACGGGGTAGGTTGAGGAAGGAGGGATGAGCAGGGTCACGAGCCGCCAGGAAGACGAGCCCATGCTTGGCCGGGCACACGCTCCCCAGGCCTCCCAGGGACCAGCATCACAGTAAGCAGTACGGCTGGGTTACCCCGAAGCCCGGGGACGGGACTGGGGGACAAGGGCAAGATGAAGAGCACACCTGGGCCCACAAACCACTTCTTCCCCGGAGGCTTGTTTCTTAAACTGTAGTCCCTAAATCAGCATCAGCAGCCCTTGGGGAGCTTGTTAGAAATGCGAAATCTCAGGCCCCGCCCTACAGAGTCCGTCTGCATTTTAACAAGACCCCCCCCCCCAGGGGACTTAGGCGCACGAAAGGGGGAGAATGCACTTGGGCCCCTGAGTTGAGGCACCGGGTGGGAGGCTGGACAGCAACTCAGGAAAGCCTCCAGATGGCGCAAAACTGAACCAAGTCCCTTGCAGGGTATCAGTGGCGACAGAAGTGACGGTGATGACACCTACTTTCCTTCAAGTTTCAGTATATGACTATACACAGACTGCACGCGAGAGAACCTGGGTGACTGTCAAAATCAGAGACGCGCAGCTTCTGCTTCCCCCACGGTTCTGTGCAGAAGGTCTGGGGGCAGGGGCATCTCTGTTTTTCAGCCCCCAGGTGATTGTGATGGGCAGCTCGGGGTGGACGGCCACTGCCCTAAACTGTCACTCCTCCCCCTTTGCACACATATTCTTCTTAGGCTGACCGTTCGTTACATCCTTGCCCTTTGAGGCTGCGGCTGGGACTGGGGCATTTTAATCCTGATCGCGTCTCTAGCAGGCAGACTGTGTCATTCCGCAGGCACACGAGCCCTCCCTGGGAGCGCTGGCTTCCGTCCTGTGCTCAGATCCCGGCAGCGGGTGGTGCCCAGGCCCCCCGGTGGGAGCCGTGCCCTGGGGACGGGCGGCGCGGCGGGGCTCATACCCGCGGAGCAGATGAGAGGCTGGGCCGCACACCTCACAGCACGCCCTGCTGGCTCTGGCCTGAATACCGTCCCCTCAGAGTCAAGAGTAGCTGGGCACAAGGCCACTCCCTTATCTGATTCTACTCAGATGCGCCCGTCCGAGGCTGAAACCCGCACACCTCACAGCCCGGGCCCGGTCACTGCTTGGAGCTTGGACGTGCAGGTGACACTGAGCTCAGATCCGCTGCCCTCTGACAGGGACCTCCCCGAGCCTGTGTGACCAAAAGGAGCAGCGCCCTTCCGAGAGGACAAGTGTGAGTCTTCTAGGGAAAATGGTCCTGCTGGGAATCATGGCTCTCGCAGAGAGCCCGGGGAAGGGATCCACAATGGCACGGCAGCCTCCATGCAGGAAGCTGGCCACCTAGCTCCTGGCAAAGAGCCTCGCTATGGATCAAGCCTCCATGGATTTGTTGAACTATTTTATATGGGGGAGAAAAAAATGTATTTTCTCATCTACTATATTTTGGGATGACCGATTCTTCTATTTCTCTGTGTAATGCAGTACTTTCCTAAATTTTCCTAATTTAAGCTTCGAAGGGGTTTCCTCTACTTCTAGAAAGGTGGGGCTTTTTTGGTTTGTGTCTTTTATCAAATCTTCAAAGATTTTAGTGACTCCAGGCAGAGCTGCTTAGAGACTCTGTTTTTCCTCGGGTAGCTTCCTCTTTATGCATCTCTTTTCCCGCAAACTGTACTTCCATCACATCAAGTCCCGCGGAGCCTGGTGGCTGGAAAACTTCCCGGACGGGGAAGAGCCTTAGTTTTGTGTACAAGCTGGGCTGTTTTCTCCAGAAGCTTTAACTCGGGGCTCGTCCATCGTGACTCTGACTCTTTGCACGCTTCTACCAGATCCCAGCACTCAGGCGATTGAGTACCAAAGTCTACCAAGTCTCGGTAACTTACACTTGCCCACACTAACAATATCGGTAATAATAACTGGCATTTATTGCATGCTTATTATGTGCCAGGCACTATGCCAAGATCTTTACGTTTACAAACTCATTTACCATCCATAATAACCCGGTGGCAGGCACACTGCATTTTTACCCGTTCTAGATTACCCTCCCCGTTTCACAGAGTGGGAAATTGAGGTTTATGGGGGTTAACCAATTTGCCCCACGCTAAAGTCAGTAACGGAAGAGCACGGCCCCTCCTAGTGCCATGATAGGTGGAGGTGGGAACATGTACTCTGGAAGGTGGAAGAATTGTCATGCTGGTTTTTAGTTGGCTTTCATATTGTTTTTAAATTTTCTGATCTACCACCTTCCGTCTGGTCCCTACCATATGTCATTGTTTCTGTCTCCCCAAAGTCTGATGAGTCCTAGGACCCATTGGCTTATCAATGGGGTCTTGCTCTGCCCAGGACATCAGCAAATTAAAGGTCATTGCTATGCCTGTTCGGATGGAGAAAGGAAGAGGGCGAAGGGCTAACAGGCCTTCCGGAACCCAGCTCAAGCTCCACTTCCTTCCGAAGGAGCCCCTCCCCCTTTACCCTGCTCCTTCCTCTGGTGTCCTCGCAAGGTGGCAAGGGCCACCCAGTGGCTCTGAGGTTTGACCTTTGAACACCTTCATTGCCCACTTGCGCGTGGCAATGGGTATTTTGTCCCCAAATGTTTCCATTTGGCAACTTGCCCATATGCTGGAGCTGGCCACGCCCCGGGCTTGCCCCGCCCACTGCTCTAGCCCCTCCCCCTCAGTATGTGGCTTGGAGGAAAAGGCGGTGGGCGCCAGGCCTGGCGGGTGGAGGGAAGGGGTTGAGGGCGGAAGGCGCGCTTCATCATCCCGTCTGAACACTGGGCCAAGAAGTGGTTCCAAAGCAAGAGGCAAAATGTACCGCCCCAGGCAGTTCATAGCTAAGGCCACTTTTCATTCGAAGCTGGGTGAGCATTTTGTTTTAGAGTTTTTCCAAGGCCAGAAATGCGCTGGTAGCAGCCAGACTGCAAACACAAGGGGGTGTGTGTACAGGGCAGTGGGGAGGGAGGCGCCCCTGGCAAGACCTCGGGCTCTGAAGAAGAGGGTTAGAGCGTCCCTGGCCCAGTCCGGGGGACGATGGGATGTTTCCTTTCAGCCCCCGCCCCCATCTTAGGGCTTGAAGCATCCTTACTGTCCGCATCTGTTGGCCCAGGCAAGTTCCCTGTGGCTGCAATCATTCCAAGCCCCTCCCTCCTGAGACTCCTGCATAAAGCATGTGCTCAAGAGGTTTCGATGAAGGAACGAACCAACCAGGCCCTCTAACCTGCTTACGAGGGGCTCTCTGCCCCCCGGTCATTTGGGCCCCTTGTGAGGCTTGAACCAGCCAGAGGTGGTTGCTCTTTATCAGCAACCTTGACCTTGACCTCCACCTAAGGGCTTGAAGGCCAGGTTTTGAGCCATGGGAAGGGTGGGGCACGCTGGGCAGGCAGGCCGGCTGGTCCTGGGGCTTGCTCTAAGAAACGAAAACCTTGGTCCCACTTCCCAAGCCTTGGGGCTCCTAAGTTTCCTGGAGTAACTCTTCACCTCCTCCCCATTTTCACCAGATCCCTGAAGCCTGCAACAGTTTCTAGATTGCAGGCTGATGGAATTTCTCAGCCCAGCCAAATACACTGAATTAGAGATACTCCTCAAATCCCCCCAGCCCATCTCTCGGTTTCCATTCTCCATTCTACTACTTCCCTGTGCCCAGGACCCTAACACCAAGGCCTCCATCCTAACCCTTAAACACTCCGTGGGCCCTGTGCAATGACTTTGCTATTTAATAGCACTTGATTTGGATTTAGCCATTATATCAACAAATGTCTGATTTCTATTTTGTGGGGTGTTCCCATCTTCCAAGTTTTCAGTGACCAATGGAAGGGTTGAAGAACTTCGACCTTCGGAAGGGGCCTCTGTAGTTTGGTTTTTGAAGCGTTTGAGTCTTCTCTTGCTCTGGAGATGATATTGAGCAAGTTGCATTGTCTCTCTGCCTCGGTTTCCCTACACATGATGGAGATAGTATCACGTTTACCATTGCCCTTTCCTCTAGTTTTAAGGAGATGGGTAAAAAGTCCAGGTAGTGGGCATATCTAAATTCACACATTCTGGATTTTCCAGGACTTAATTTCAAATACTTAGTCCCTATTGTCAGATCATGTGTCTGAGCTTGTGATCTGATTTGGGATCAGAATTTATGGTCTTGAGAATTTATGAGCTATTCATTCCAGAAATGGGCTGGAATTTTACTTACTAATATCTGTATACAAACCATTCTGATACTGGTGCTGGCCTGGAACCTGTCGCTTACACAACAGAACCTGTCACTCTGCTCAGCAGGGACTCAACTATGTCACTGGAGGTCGTCCCTGGGAGGCCCAGGGAGACTGTCTCACCCGCCCCTGGGCCCTGGATAAGGAAGGAGCCTACTCACCTGCCCAGAGCGTGCTCAGCACAGGCCACATCTTCCACACCATGGTCTTG